CAAGCTGGCCGCGATGGTTGACGGCAGCTGCAAGGCGAACGAGTGCGCATCGTGGAGAGCCGAGACGCAGAGCTGCGTTGTCGATTCGCAGACTTTGCAAACCTGCTTCGTGTCTTGAAGGGGCCGAGTCAGACCCCAGGCGGTCATTGCAAACACGGTGGACAGCACGTCGAGTTGAAGTAGGCTCGTTCGTTGCGTCGAGCACGGGTCGTCGAACGAAAACTGCGGCTGCACAAAGGCCGACCCAGCGCCATAGACGCACATGGGACTCCCCCCAAAGTACGTTGCATTCAGCTGTCTCCACGAATATGGGACGGCGTCCAACGGTACAGACGCAAGCCGATGGTACGTGGCCTGGAGCGAGGCATCGGCTACGAGCGCCGTGCCCAGTAAAAACGCTGCCGTGAACGCTTGCATTGAGCCGGGCGGTGCGACGTAAAAGCTGTCGATCGATACGAATGGTCCGAGGGCGTCGTGCACGATGATGCTCGCGGGTGTGAACGGGTAGACGCCCGCCATGTCTTCCATGGACACCGACGGACCGAGCGAGTTGTTGGCCATAAAGTTGCTGGCGCTGCGAACGAGACTGCCATTCGTCATGGCCGAGATCCAGAGATCGTCGAAAAGGTACCAATACAAGATCCCTGTTGTCCAGAGGGCACCTACAGCACACACGTTGGTGCCACGTAATCAAAGAGCTAGAATGTCATACCTCGCCCCATGTGCGTCATACTGGCGATCGAGAGCTGTTGCGCTCCACCAAACGCGTCGACCACCGAGAGCGTCTCGTGGATGCCAATGGTTAGCGTGTTGCCCCACTGCAACGTAAAGTGCGTCAACCCATGCGACAACCAAAAGCCGACTTCGTCCTCGACCGAGACGAATGCATCTTGGACGCTCGCTAGCCAGTCGACGCCACCGGGTGACGCCACCACGGCGTTGCCGACGGAAAACATGAATGCCGTCTCGAACCGCTCCAAGAAGTGGGCCCACTCGACGATGCGAAGATGCGGCTCGAGGATCACGGCCGCGTTATTGGCATACTGCGCTGCGCACCGGGCTTGACGAGCGGCCGTGTGTCCGAGCTCCCAGCGCTTTTGTACGTCGACCCAGCAATACTGCGTGAAGAGGCTAAACGTGAGCTCGACGGACAGCGATCGAATCGCCTCGACCGCAGTTCGTACCGACGTTTGCTCGCTCAAGAGAATCGCCCGTGGGTACGACGGCTGAACGTCGAGCATCGTCGATGGTTTGTCGTAGTCCTTGAGCAGCGCGTTGGACGCATCAAACGCGTCGATGGAGCCATTCGATGCCGTCCAAAGATGCACACGGTAGAGATCCAAGAGGTACGTATGAGCGCCGTGGAGGCCAAACGACGGCCAGTAGAGGTCGTTGACCATGTGCGGCGATAACAAGCGAGTGTAGTAGACACTGCAGGCCATCGAGAGCGCCACGTAGGCAAGGCCGAGCAACGTCTTGCGTCGTGGCTTCATGGACCGGCTGGTTGCTTGTCGTGTTTTCAAATGGCAAGTGGGCAACGTGCCATTTTTGTGCTGGCGTCGTTTCGGGACGAAACTTCTCAAGGGCGCGACCTTTTGTGGACCACCAATATAAGCCCAGGTCCCCCAAGCCCAACGCGACTACGAGTACAGACTCTATACTAGCGCTGCTAGACCATTCCTTTTGCCCATCGATGACAAAAAAGCCCGCATGTTCTTGGGACTGCACGTTTGCATGCAGTATGTCAGCGTGTTTCCCTTCCCAACTGCAATGTGGACGACGGAGTGGACGACGGCGGCTTCCGGTACGAGTAACCGCCAAGCGCCAGACCATGGACAACCTGGAACTTCATCCACTGTGTTAAGCGATCCAGCGATCGACGACTCTGTGGTCAAAGCATTGCATTCTGTACTAGACTCGACTGAGTGGGTAGAGCGCTCGACACCTTGGGCAACGATGCGTCCTCGGCCCACTCGTAGCTTCGGTGAAGCGGCAAATACGGCCTCCTCGTTCCTTTTGTACGTTGATGCTTGAGAGCAGGTAGACATTGAAATGACTGCACGTGTTCTCCACAGTCGCGGCGAGTACAGCAAGGGTAAATAAGAGATACCCTTGACTCCAGCGACGTCATCGTCGGCTCGAGCAAGAAATGGGTGCAGCTTCCTCGGACGTCTCTGTGCAAGAAGCTAGCGTCGTCAAGACAAACGCAGCGCTTCGACCACCAGCATGTCCCCAGCTGCGCTCGACGCATTCCGTCGTATCATGCAGTCAGCGTCGTGCAAGCCCACGCGATGGGCAGCTGATATCACTGTGGTTGAACGCTGGCATCGCTGATTGGCTCCCGCGGTCGCAAGGCGCCTTGAAGCTGCTCTGATTGTAGCTTTTTGGCCAATCAGCGGCGACGTTCGAAATGGCTGCGCCAGATCGCAACATTTTCGAAGTTGCGCCCACGATGCCACTGCTCCGCGTCAAGGTCGTCTCGGGGAAGAAGCTCCTCGCGGTCGACAAGAAGTTCATCGGCGCCGCGTCGAGCGACCCATGTACGCATGAGGACGAGGAGGAACATGACGCTCATGCGCTTGGTAGACGTCCGCTTGACGTGTGGTGCCGAGACGTGCAAGACCAAGATCCAGTCCGGGACCGTCAACCCAACGTGGCACGAGGAGTTCCGGTTCGGCGAAGCGGTCTGCCTCGCCGAGGATGCGTGCATCTCGTTCCGCGTCAAAGACTACAACACGCTCACGCCCAGCGTCGACCTCGGCGGCGCCGAAGTCCATGTCCCGTCGCTCACGCCCAACGAATGGGTACCCATCGCCGATGGTATCCCAGCCTATACACATCTTCTTCGTAGAACAAACTGGTGCTGCCTCTCGAGAAGCACGCGTCAATGAAGGGGGACGCGTCGGGCGAGATCGCGGTCGAGATCTTCTACGACCCGACGCAAGGTGCGGACGGTGCGCCGCCGTCCGACGTCCAAAACATTTGGTCAGAGACGTCGACGCGCGAGCTCCCGATTCCGCCATCGTCGAGTAACGGGGACGACGAGGAGGCTTCGCCGCCCACGAGCGCGTCCGCAGCGCCCGCGCCCTGGACGTACAACTTTCTTGCTGTGAGTGTCTTGGAAGGCGCAGGCCTCAAGGCGTGCGATGGCGACGCGCAGGCGGGCACGAGCGACCCGTTCGCGCTTCTTCGCATCGGCACGGCCAAGCCGTTCAAGACCAAGGTCATGAAGAAGACGCTCGTGCCGAAATGGCGCGAAAAGTTCTACTTCCCGCTCGACCCCAAGACCAAGTACGCCAACACGGTCCTGTCGCTGCGCGTCGAAGACGAGGACGTGCTCTCGAACGACTTTATGGGGCTCCTCGCCATCGACGTGCGCGAGTGGGTCCAAAAGCACGGCAGCGCCAAGAAGGACATGTGGTTTGGCCTCGGGCCCGACACCAAGAACCCAGTGCGCGCGAGCCTCGACGAGGAAGACCCGCTCGACTACGGCTTTGGCAAGGTCCACCTCGCGATCGAGGCGTGCACGCTCGAGTGCGACTACGCGACGCTCGTGCAGGGCGAGGCCGACACGGACGTCTATGCGTCGGCCGAAGACGACGAAGAGAGCGGCGCGAACAACGAAGAGGACGCCAAGCTCGCCGAGCGCGAGTCGACCGAGGAGAAGGCCAAGCGCGACGAAGAAGAAAAGAAGATGCTCGAAGAGCTCCAGAAAATCCAGTTCAAGTCGGGCGACTACCAGATCCAGGTACTGTGACCACATATCTCGTGTGGACGCGTACCAGATTGTGGTGGACCGTAGGTGCGCATCATTGAAGTGCGCGACTTGGTGCCGCAGGATGCCAACGGGTCGGCGGACCCAGTGGTGTTTGTCGAGTGCATGGGCCAGGAGCAGCACACGGCCGTCAAGCCCAACCAGCTCTCGTGCGTCTTTGACACGCTTCTCTTTTTCAACCTCAAGAACGTCGACAAGGACGACATTGAGAGCGCGTCGATCGAAGTGACCGTCAAGGACGCCGACGGGCCGTTCTCGTCCGACAAGATTGGGTTCTTCCGCATCGACATTCCGTACATTTACTACATGAAGAACCACGAGATGTACCGTCAATGGGTCGCACTCGTCAAGAGCGCGGGCGACAGCGAGCAGGGCGTGCAGGGCTACCTCTTGTACGTCGTCGCTTCGGCACTTGATACCTTCTTGATACTCATGATATCACTGTTGTGACTAGGCTCTCGATTGCTGTGCTTGGCCCTGGCGACACCATCCCGATCCACGACCCCAAGGTACGTCATACGAGCTTGCGGCAACCTACATCGTTCGTGTGCATATAGGAGATCAAGGACGACTCGGAGATGGTGATCATGCCGCCGCGAGTGTCGCAGACATTGCACTTCCTCGTGGTGACGGTCCACCGCGCCGAGGGACTTCCCAACATGGACAAGGGTACGTATCACATAGGGACGACTCAGCGATGTCATGTGGCACAGGCATCATGTCGGGCGGCGGTATCGACGCGTACGTCCGCGTGGCGTTCGCTGGTGAAAAGCCCGTCGAGACGCGCAAGGTGTCGACGCGCGGCTCGGACGTCGACTTCCAGCAGGTACACAAAGGCTTGGGATCGAGCCTCGCTCAGTCTTTCGCAGGAGCTGTGGTTTCCCGTGCTCTTGCCGTGCATGTCGAACCGCATCGCGATTAGCGTCTGGGACTGGGACCGTGTCGCCGATGAGCTCGTCGCGCATGCCTCGCCGTTCAACTTTAACCAGATCAAGGACCACCCGACGTACGCAATGCAAGGTGTATCCTGTGCATGACGCCAGTATGCATAGGCTCTTCCAGAACCTTTGGACCAACTTGTATGGGACGCCGGAAGACTCGACGTTTCTCAAGTTCAACTCGACGGCCAAAGCGTTTATGGGCAAGCACCCGGAGACCGCGTCGACCTTCCGCGGCCGCCTCTTGCTCTCGTTTCGCGTCGAGTCGGACGTCAAGAACACGCTCGACGTGCCGCATACGCGCAACCTCCTCACCAAGATGCCGCAGCCGCCTACCAAGACGTACTGTCTCCGCGCGCTGCTTCTCTCGGGGTCGGAGATCCCGGGCTTTACGAGCAAGGTGCACTGGGGCTCCTTCTCCAAGATGAGCGTGCGCATTGCGATCGGCAGCACAACACTGTGGTACAACCGCGTCGCCAACGTCAAGGGCATGTGCAGCTGGAACCAGTTCATGCAGGCGCCGAGCCTCGCGCTCCCGTCCGACTTGCGCCAGTGCCCCGATGTGTTTGTGTACCTTGTGGCGGGCGCCACCGGTGCGGACGCGCGCAACGTTTGCTACGCGCGCTTCAAGGCCGCCGAGCTGCTGCTCCCGAGCGACGAGACGGTGCCCAAAGCCAAGTGGATCAGCCTCAGCGAAGACGACGTCCTCAACGAGCTTCAGGACTACCAACACCCGGGCAACCTTCTTCTGCGCCTTGGCCTCGCCGAAACGACGTCCAAGGACGTGCCCGAGTCGTGGAAGGAGGTAGTGTCGGCCAAGATGCCGTCGGCGTCGTACACGCTTCTCGTGCACCTCTTCCAAGGCCGCGGGCTCCCGTCCGCCGACTCGAACGGCCTCCTCGACCCGTACGTCGCTGTCACGTGCAGCGGCGTCGGCAACAAGAGCTCGCGCAAGAACCGGACGCGCGACCCGATGTACTACGAGACCATGGTGTTTGACGTCAACGTGCCCGTGGTATGTCACCGTGACGCTTCCAGCACGTGTCTCATCATGACCGAGTAGGACCGCGACCACCAGCCGCGCATTGCCTTGCAGGTGTACGACTGGGACCGTTGGGACGCCGATGACTTTGTCGGCGGTGTTTCGATTCCGCTCCAAGGTGCGTTGCCACCTCGGCGATGTTTAGTCGAATAATGGTTGGTGGTAGATGTGCGCGTCATGGAGGCCAGCGACTACGAGGCCGGCTACACCGTGCCCGTGCCCGAGTGGTACCCACTGGGGCTCCAGACACCTGGTGACGTCGAGGGCGCGCTCCTTCTCTCGTGCATGCTCATCGTCAAGGACATGCCCGACCAAGTGATCGCGCCGCCCGCGTCGATTCGCCCCAAGATGCAGGAGAAATTTCTCGAGATCATTTGCGTCGGCATGCGCCAGCTCACGCCCGCGGGCTTCACGCCACTGCACATGCCGTACCTGCAGTTTGAGATTGGCGAGGTCACGTCGACGAACCGACCCAAGCTCACGGCGCCGAGTGCCAAGCCGTCGCCGCACGACCCCAACTACCTCGAGCGTATTGTGATTCCGATTTCGGTGCCGGAAGACGCGCGGTACGCGCCGCGCTTGAACCTCAGCGTCTACGACACGCTCCTCGGTGGTTTTGTCAAGCCGCTTCTCGGCACGGCGTCCATCGATCTCGCGACCAAGCTCCCGTTCTCGAACGGCCGGCCCAACGAAGCGTACGTGGCGCCCGGTGCGTCGACGCACCATGTGGTCGGCAACCCGCACGTCGACGGCGAGATCGTGCCTCGGACGCCGGAAGGAAGCTCGTCCGGTGCGGGTGTCGGTGCCATCATGCCTACGATGGACGAAATGGATGAAGACGACGAAGACACGCCGCCGTACCTCAAGCACCGCGAGCTCATGGCCGACACGATCGAGGCGACGCTCGAGACGACGCCGTTCGAAGTCTACAACGTCTACCGCGGCCAAACGTTTGGCGTCGGCAAGAGCACGTACCGGGCTGTCGGCAAGTTCAAGGGGCTCATCCGCATCCTCAACAGCCGGTCGGACGCGCCGCTCTTTGACCTGGAAATGCTGCTCAACCCGCAGCCGTACGTGGTGCGCATCTACGTCCTCGACGCGTTCGCGCTCCAGCCCAAGGACCCGAACGGCAAGTCGGACCCGTACTTGCGGCTCAAGGTCGGCTCGAAGGAGATTGTGAGCGACCGGTCGCACCACCACACTGCGACGCTCGAACCCAAGTTCCACTCGGTGTACGAGTTCAAGGTCAACCTCCCGGGGGCCTCGACGCTCTCGCTCGAGTGCTGGGACTACGACCTCTTTTCGGTCGGCGGCGACGATTTCATTGGCGCCACGTGCATCGACCTCGAGGACCGGTGGTTTGACGACCGGTGGCAGACGCTCGGCAACACGGCCGAGGGGACGTTCAAGCCGATCGAGACGCGTCAGCTCTACGCGCCCTCGAGTGTCTGCGCGCAGGGCTCGGTGCGGCTCTGGATGGACATTCTGACGCCGGCGCAAGCGACCTTGTCGCCGCCCGTCGACATCAAGCTGCCGCCTATTGAGCATTTTGAGGTGCGCGTCGTCATCTACAAGACCAAGGACGTGACGCCGGGCGACGAATTCTCGGGCTTGAGCGACCTCTTCATCAAGGCGTGGCTGCAGTCGTACGACAACAAGGCGCAGAAGACCGACATTCATTGGCGCGCCAAAGACGGCAAGGCGAGCTTCAACTGGCGCATGAAGTTTGACATTGCACTTCCGATCGACGCGAGCAACGAGCTCGAGAAGGGCCACTTGCATCTCCAGATGTGGGACAAGGACGTCCTGTACGACGACTGCCTCTCGGACACGATCATCAACCTCTCGGAGCACCTCAAGAAGGCGTACAAGACCAAGGAGATTGTCAACGTGTACGCCAAGCCCAAGCCGATCAAGTCCAACCCGCGGCCGACCAAGAGCCCGACCAACGTCCGCGTCGCGAGCCCCACGGCCACGGTCGCGACCGGTGCGCTATTTCGTTCCTTCCTCGTCCTTGCTCATCCTTGGACGTGTGTAGATCTCGACGACCTCGAACGGGGCGAGAGCGAGGCGCTCTTGCCGCCGCCGCCGCTCTCCAAGTCCGACTCGAAGCGCGGGAAGAAGAACGACAAGAAGGAAGGCGTCGAGATGATGGTCAAGGCGCTCAAGACGCGCATGGGCATGGGCGAAGACCCGGACGACGCCAGCTGGCTCACGTGCACGACGCGGGACCCGCACACGGGCGACCGCGTCGAGGCCGGCAAGATCCTTCTCGCGATCGAGATCATTCCCAAGCATGTGGCCGACCTCCGCGCCGCCGGCCTCGGGCGCAGCGAGCCCAACAGCTTCCCGACGCTCGCCGAGCCCGCCGACCGCTTGCATCTCAAGTACGTCGTCGCTACTTTGTGTCATCCATGACGAATGTGGCTAGCGCGCTCTTCAACCCGCTGCACTTGCTCGAGTCGCTCATGGGCCCCAAGGCGTACGCGGCCTGCTCGAGCTTTGTCATTTGCGCGCTCGTGATTGCGTTCCTCGTCTTTGCCGGCCCCATGATCAACGTCCTCTTGGTATGTACGCGTGCTGCATCGGAGGTCTCATCGAGCTGCTGCCTGTAGACGCTGCTCAACATGCTCCCGTCGCCGTACGGCTGGGTCGTCTTTGGCCTCGTCATGTTCCTCATCCTCTTTGGCTTTGGCTACTGCTCGTACCGCTGCCGGCGCACGATGCGCACGTCGTAGGCTACGTGTATTTTGAATGGACCGAATGCTTTTGGACATGCATGCGATGTGGCATGGCCGACGCGGCCAGTCGTTCGACTGCTGCATGCGTCATCCTCACCTACAATGGACAAGCATCCGCGCGCAGACGGTTGCAGTACAGAAGCGGAGGATGAGCATCGAACGCAGCGACACGCCATCGCCACGCCATCTCCACTGTCCTCTCCACCACCTCTCTCCACCGTCATTTTCACTGTCGTCTCCACCGTCATCATCACCGTCATCTTCACCGTCATCTTCACCGTCTTCTCCATCGGGCAGGAAGGAAGCTACTGCTGTTGCTCGTCTTGAACGTGGGTGGCTGAATAAAAGAACATTTCGGAACGGATAAAAGACACGGCGTGGGTTATCCGGAAAGATATGTATCCGGACAAGGCAAGCGGCCACTCGAAATGTTTCATAATCTTTTTTGCCCCTCGGACCATGGTGGTAGGCGACGTGATGGCGGCGCATGGGCGCTGACGCTTGACGTAGAGACAAGAGCCCATCTACCTCGACGACAACGCTTCGTACCCCAAGGAACACTTCCTCGTGCCGGCCCACTACCTCGTACGCATGCGAGCAAGGAGCGCGAGGTTGATGGCGTCTATGTGTAGCCGTACGTGGACAGCGTCTTGATCCCGCAAGGCTTGATCAACGACCGCATCGAGAAGCTTGCGCAGGACATCCGCCATGCGTACCAGGGCCAGACGATTCACCTGCTCTGCGTGCTCAAGGGCGGCGCCGCCTTCTTCCACGCGCTCATCGAGAAGCTGCGCCTGTTCCACAAGTACAACACGTGCGACTACGTCCCGTTCACGTTTGACTTCATCAAAGTCAAGTCATACGACGGCCTCCAGTCGACGGGCAACGTCCAAGTGAGCGGCGCCGACATTGCTAAGTTCAAGGGCAAGCACTTGTTGCTGGTCGAAGACATCATTGACACGGGCAAGACCATGGCCAAGCTCGTGCCGTACCTCTCGGCGTCCGAGCCGGCCTCGATCAAGGTCTCGAGCCTCTTGGAGAAGCGCAACCCTGAGTCGTGCGGCTTCCTCGCCGACTTTGTGGGCTTTTCGATCCCGGACAAGTTTGTCATTGGCTGCTGCCTCGACTACAACGAGATCTTCCGGGACTTGGACCACATCTGCGTCATCAACAACGCGGGTATCGCCAAGTGGGCGTCGTCGTAGATGTAGCTAGACGATCAGATCAACACGCAGATGTATGTTCCTTTCTTTGGTTACGTAGTACGAATAGCGGCTCTAGACATGTAGCATACCTCTACTTGGGGAGCTGCTCAAACTGGGCCGGCGTGTACGTCTTAAGCGTCAGGCCGTGCATGCCACCGATCTCTTCCTTGAGCACTTCGTTCACGAGGCGGTGCTGCGCGACGCGGTTCTTGCCCTCGAACGTCGGCGACGCGACCTCGATCTTGTACATGGAGCCACAGCCGCCCGAGATGTCGTCGACCTTGACGTGCGTCGCGCTCAGCGCCTGGCGCAAGGACGTCGCCATCTTCTCTTCCGCCGTCGTGCTAAGACCACGCACCGACGCTGGCCGGAGCACCCGCTGCAATGCACGCATCATCATCTTCTTGCTTCGTCGTCGACCGTTCAATCCGAAATGATTTGCCGCCGATTCGGAGAAGTTCTTTGCGCCCGTTAAGTACGCTTGTGGTCGATAGTGAATCCAAGATGCGTACAAAGAGCGACTTGGACGATGCAAAGTGCGATTGCCCCAAGCCTCAACCACGCCTGTCAAGCGCCGCTACTCGATAACGACGCTGCGCCAGGGCTCCCTCAGCGGCGCATTGGCTTTACCGAGCCGCCAAAGTACCTCCTTGAAATGCTGCCTGAGGACCACCACGTCACGGTAGCTACTGCCACCGAGTACAGTCCCGCCCGACTACATCACGCGCTCTCCCAACTTTATATGGACGGAATAGAGCGGAAAGCCTTCGCAATTCCTACTCGGCTGGGCTATAAGTTCTGAGCGACAAACTACGCGTCTAGTGTGTCTGAGGTGCGCTCGAGACGCGCAGCCACCTTTTGCGTCGCAGCGACGTTGTCAACGCGATCGGGGCCGTCTTCCTACGCTCGTCGAGCGACTTGAGCGGACGCTAACCATGCTATCTTTGCATCATTGGCGGCACGTAAACGGTATCAACAAAGCGCTGTTTGCGATCGCGCCACCACACCAGCGCTCCCGTAAGTTCCAGAGTCCCCAGCATCGCTGGCAGCTCGAGACATTCTGGCACGAGGCCAAGCAGCCTCTTGGACGTCGACTTTCACCGAGAGGCACCCTTTGGGCCGCGCTCAAAACCAAGCGCGCCTTTAACACTACCAGCTTCGCAACAGCAAGCTTCACCGCTGCCGCAACATGCCTCAAGTCGAAAGGCTGCCATCCAAAACAGTTCAGCAATCGAATCGATGCACTTCAACGACTGCAAGCTCAACGACAACGCGGCGAGTGACAAACTGCATGTGAGAAACCGCCGAGCTAAAGGGGAGACTCATGGGAGGCTCTTTACACAGCCACCATCGTCATCGAGAGATCAGGGAATTAGGACTCTGGCATGGCGCCACGTGAAGCAGCTCGTCAATCTATTGGGTAAAAATCGAAAAATCCAACCAAAAATGCGATTGCCCAGATTCGAACGGATTGGTATGTAGAGCGGAAGGATGACGAGCTTGGACACGCGCCACCCGATATGACGTCCCTCCTTGAAGGTCCTCGTCCACTTCCTATGATAATACCAGATAGACGCACCAACTTCAACAACAACGATGCGAAGGGCGACCTGGATCCCTCCAGAGAGCTCCTCCAGACGGTGTTGCTTTCGACACGATTGGTTGCTGTAGACAGGCGGCTCTCGAGAGGCGACTTACTTTGTTGCTGCAGCAGCACGGAGGTCGACAGCCGCAAGCAGGGTTAAAAGGATGCGACAAGCACCTTCAACCGCGTGCAGCGATCGAAGCCGAGGACCAGCTGGGTTCGAAGCACCGGCGTGTGATGAGCATCGAAACAGCAAGGAGCCAGGACAGCAAGTTGTCCAGTGCACCGACCCGATGGATGATTCACATGGCAGTGTCCCGCCATGCAGCTTGAGCTTGCAGCTTGGATTCAATGGCGATGAGGAACATGGAGCGTCGCATGGGATCGTCGGACCGAGTAATGACGCGCCTCGGTGGATTTGTTGAAATGCGGCAAGTGAGGCATTACGCAGTGGGTTATAACAACGCGGCTTTATTGAGCAACAACTATTGCGAACGTGCATCATTCACGCCACGCAGCGTTCTGACGACCCCACTGCAGGCGGCTGTCGTTTTACCATTTTTTAACAATTGGCGAGTGCTGGTCGGGTTGGAAAGCGTCGTTTCTCTTGGTGTTTGTATGCATACAACCGCGCCAGATGGCTTCGAATACCCATGTTTGGTTGTTGCTATTTATTTGCCGTCGAATGGATTTGCGATTGGATTTCTGGCCTATAGCCCGAGCTATCCAGCCGAGCGATCCGACAAGCTATCCAGCGAAACGATACTCTACTCTTTGCGCGACTGCCTGCAAAATGCAAAAACGAGCTTGGAGGCCGTCGGCACTGCAACCGCAATTGCTTGAACCTGCTATGCAAAGGGAAAGGCCATCATCTCCCACGCACGTCCATGTCAGCAGCGTACTGTGTAGTGACCAAGGGTAATTCACGCCGGACAAGAGCATCCACAGCAGCATCGTATGAGCTCATCGCTCATCGATTTCATACAGGCGAGACAACAACAGACTACGTAGCAGCAGGAGCGGCGACCGAGAACAACAACACATCGAGCGTCCATCGACGCGCGTCAGCACTGGATCTTCTGGTCACAACAAGCTGTTGAAACATTTTAGCGCCCACTGTGCACAACCTTCGCAACAGCTGCCAGTGCGAAGCATACAAATGCCAAGTCATGAGGGTGGGACAGTTGGGTATACGAACCCCAAGTGTCTTTTGTTGGCCGGCGGGAATTCGCCTCGTCAAATGGCAGCTGGCGGATCGCTGCAAGATGCGCAAGAGGCTCACAATTCAACTTTCGCGCTTCTTGCCACTCATGAGCCAAGCGACTTCGACGACGACGGCCACCACCGAGTGCTTCTTCAATGGCTGCACCAACAGCGTCATGCACGGGTCATGGAAGTGCGAGTTCCACAAGAACCGCGCCAAGTGCACGGGCTCGTCCACGTGCCACAACCAGGTCTTTGCCCGCAACCTCTGCGTGCGCCACGGCGGCAAGAAGCCCTGCATCCACTCGGGCTGCACGGGCAACGCGCGCATTGGCAACTACTGCTCGCGCCACGGCGCGTCGACCTCCAAGAAGATGTGCACCGAAGAGGGCTGCACCAAGGTCGCCCACGCCCGCCAAAAGTGCGTGCGCCACGGCGGCGGCCGGCGCTGCCGCATTGAGGCCTGCGAAGCGCACGCGCGCAACGGCGGCTTTTGCTTCCGCCACAGCCGCCTCCAGGCCGCGGGCTTTTCGCTCAAGGAGCGCATCGATATGACGCCGCCGACGACACCGCCGCCGACGACCAAAGCCGCGCAAACCTTTATGAGCCTCATGCCCGTCATCAAGGACGAAGCGACGCCCGTGATGCCGAGCTACGAGTGGAAGCCCATGATGGACGTGACCGAGTCGGACGAGATGCTCATGGAAATCTTCCTCGGCAAGCCGACACCGATGCACACGTTCGAGCTGCACGACGACGTCTTCAGCCACGAAGCCTTCTTCGACCCCATGATGTCGCTCGTCGACATTGACGGCATCCCCGTCGGCACGTGGATCTAAGCCACGACACCGTTCTTATTTATGATTCTTATACACTATTGTTGCCCAACGAGTCGACCTCTTCTTGCTCCGATGGCATTGACTCGGTTGCCCACGTCCTCGTGCAGCTTCGACGAGCACACACCATGTGGCGCGTTGGACGACGACAAGGCGACTGGGAAATTCGGTCAAAATTCCTGCAAATTTACGCAAAATTATGACGTGGCGCCACCAGCTGTCCGAAGGCGCATCATAGTAAACAGCACCAGACGCCAACGCCAACGAAGGGAGGCCAGCGACCACGCTCTCCACGAGATTCGAAATTCTCGTCTTCAACGAGGAGCGGCGAGCTTGCCGAGGGTCGGAGAAGAAGCTTCGCCGACCAGCTTTGTACCAAATTCTACCACCCTCACGGTCGCAAAGGATGTGTAGCTACTTCTTGCGTCCCCGGACAAGCAGCGATCCGAGATCCTTCGCTCGCACGATGATTTGTCGGTCCATCCATGCAGCTACTGCACCGTGGGACCGTCGTTCCTGCGACATCATCCCCTTTCCCGACGCTATCATGACGCAGTTGGCGACGGCTGAGCACAGTGGGCCACGCATGGTTCCGGTCTTGCGCCCGCTCGCTCGACGTCGGACGTTGTTGGCATCGTACACGAACGAAGCGCACCTCGTGCTCTGCCGTGGCCGTCGTCGCATGCTTGTGTAGCTAGCTTGGCAATGGCGCATCTGCATACAATTACAAGCGGTCGCCAGCCCATCATCCCAGACGCAGCGAGGCCATCCTCCGCGTCCACGTTTTTGCAGCGCAATGGCCGCGTCGCGGAGGAGGAGCGGCCGCCTCGGGCGTTATTTTAGCCTTCCATGGCTGGAGCCGCCGTCGATGGCCGAGCGCAACAACGCGCGGCGTCGACGCGATCTTTCGAGTCCGGATATGCCCGACGTCTATGCGGCCACAATCGCACCACAGCCACATGAACATCCTCGACGTGATCCGGGGCGGTGCCACCGACGCCCACGTGCGCGGCGGGTCGCCCAAGCTCGGGCCCGTCATGCGGTCACTCTCGTGGCGCGACAAGTACATCAACCAGGCCGAGTTCGCCGTGCCCCTGAACGGCGCGCGGACGCTGCGCATCAAGCAGCTACCGAACGGCGAGACAACGGGCCTCGGGACCGGGCTCACGGTCTGGCCGGCCGCGGTCGTGCTCCTCCAGTACCTCGTGCATCGGTATGGGCACCTCGGCTGCAAGCGCGTCGTCGAGCTAGGTACGTTCCGCGCATGATGTGCTGTATACATTCTTGTCTGAAAATGACAGGCATTAGGCTGCGGCACGGGCGCCGTGGGGCTGGCGGCCGCCATGCTCGGTGGCCGCGTCGTCTTGACGGACCAGGCCCAAGTGCAGTTTCTCATGCGCGAGAACGCGGCTTTGAACAACGTGTCGGTCGAGCTCTGCGAGTACGACTGGGGAAAGCCGCTCGTCGGGCCGCTCGCGACGCCGGTCGACCTCGTGCTCATTTCCGACTGCATCTTGCCCAAGCTGTACCCGATCGAACCGCTCGTATCGGCCATCGACCTCCTCTGCGGCCCGTGGACGCGCGTCCTCATCTCGTTCGAGTACCGGTACTTTCCCGCGTTCGACCCCAAGGCGCGCTTCTGCGCCCTCCTCGATACTGTTGGTCTTGAGCTACGCACGATCCCGCTCACGGAGCAGCACCCGAGCTACCATGTCGAGGACATTGAGCTATGGGAGATTGCGCGCATGCGTTCTCGTCGTCGCCCGATCTTGGAGACGAGAGACGCGTAGGCGTAGTGTATCTGTGTTGTATCCAGCGCGTTTGCGAGTACTTTGCGTGAGCCAAGGCTGCCGTTCCCGCCGGCGAAGTGGGCGCCGGCGTTCGGACTGGCCTGATCCCCTCGCAGAGGCCAATCGGAAGCCACAGGAACGTCTTATCCTCTTCAGGGCCCTTCGACTCGACATGCTCGCGCAGCCGCGGCGCTTGCCAGGCTAGACGCCGCCGGTCGCCAGCCCTCTGCCGGCGGCGCCGGCCATGCCACCGTGGACGTCGCCGCCATCGTCGTCGGCGCTGCCACGTCGGCCGGTCGGTTTGGGCCCTGCGCAATATAATGATACGGGTTTTGTATGCGACGGGAATAAAATTTGCGGCTGGCAGGCGCTGGGCCAAAAATACGAACTGAGTTGTTTCATCACAACAGATAACGAGGATGGGCGACGTGCGCGTCGTAGTCCGCGTGCGCCCGCCGAACGCGAGCGAGATCGCGCGCGGCAACAACGGCCAGCGCTGCGTCAAGGTCGCAAGCCCGAGCCTCGTGCACGTGTACCCGGACGACAAGGCCATGGAGGCCGGCGGGCCGCCCAACTCGTTCACGTTCGACAACGTCTTTGGCGAAGACTCGACGCAGAAAGAGGTCTTTGAGGCCGTCGCCAAGCCCGTCGTCGCCGACGTCCTCGAGGGCTACAACGCGACTATTTTTGCGTACGGCCAAACCTCGTCCGGCAAAACGTTCACCATGGAAGGCGCGTCGATCGACGACCCGGGCCTACGGGGCATCATTCCGCGCACGGCGACCGAGCTCTTTGCGCGCCTCATGGACGCCGACGAGAACATGGAGTTTGTCGTCAAAGTGAGCTACATTGAGATCTACATGGAGCGCATCCGCGATCTCCTCGACCCGTACAAGACCAAGATCAACCTCCAAGTGCGCGAAGACACCGAGAAGGGCATTTACGTCGATGGCGTCACCGAGCTCTGCGTCACGAGCGACGACGAGCTCCTCACGACCATGCGCAGCGGTGCGATGAACCGTGCGGTCGCGGCCACGGGCATGAACGAGGGCTCGTCACGGTCGCACTCGGTCTTCATGGTGACCTTGTACCAGCGCAACCTCGAGACCAACTCGACCAAAGTCGGTACGTATCCCTCCAAGGCACGTCTCGTGGGCTCATCCAATGCATGAAGGCAAGCTGTATCTGGTCGACTTGGCCGGCTCGGAGATGGTGCGCAAGACGCAGGCGTCCGGGAAGCAGCTCGAAGAAGCCAAGACCATCAACAAGTCGCTCTCGGCGCTCGGGATGGTCATCAACGCCCTCACTACGGCCAACGTGACGTTTGTGCCGTACCGCGACAGTAGGCTTGCTCCGTTGATGTCGACTGTCGAATGTGTCGTAGGTAAGCTCACGCGCGTGCTGCAAGAGTCGCTCGGCGGCAACTCGCGGACGGCGCTCATCATCAACGTGTCGCCGAGCAGCTACAACGCGCCCGAGACGCTCTCGACGCTGCGCTTTGGGAACCGCGCCAAGAGCATCAAGAACAAGGCCGTCGTCAACGCCGAAAAGAGCGCCGAGGAGTACAAGCAGCTGCTCGCCAAGGCCGAGAAGGCCATGACGATGCAGCAAAACTACATCCTCGTGCTCGAAACCAAGCTCAAGCAGCAGCAGCTCAGCGCGACGACGACGGACGCGGCAGTCGCCGAAGTCGCGGCCGTCTCGGCCCTCGAGAAGCTCCAAGTACGCATTTGACCTCGGTTTGCCGCTCGCCCTCACTGCGTTTTAGGAGCGCGTGGTGCAGCTGGAAGAGCAGCTCGGCGAAGAGAAGCAAGAGTCGCAGCGCCGCGGCGACGAGATTCGGTCGCTCACCAGCGTCTTGAACGAGTCGCAGCTCGAAGTCGAAGAGCTCAAGACGCAAAAGGAGTCGTTCGAGCGCCCGCGCGACGACCACAGCTCGCGACACCTCCTCGAAGAGCTGAGCCACCTCAAGCTCGAGCTCGACAAGCTCCAGTTTGAGAACGACGAGATCAAGCTCCACGTGACAACCCTCCAGCAAGAAAACGACCGGCTCGCGGCCGAGAGCGACCAGCGCGCGACCAGTGCGAGCGACGACGACCTCGTGGCGACCACCAACGCGGCCCTCGCCGCGCCATTGCCACCGCCGGCGCCGACGACGCCACCCCGCAACCTTGGCGCGAGCACGATTCGGTTCGAGATTGACGAGGAGAAGGAAGCCCGCGTGTTGCGGCTCGAGTCGGACCTCAAGGCCGCGCAAGAGGAGCTCATGACGCACCAGACGCAGGCGCAAAAAGAGATCCAGCGCTTTACAGACGAGCGCCGCCTCCTCACCAACCAGGTACGCACACTCGAGGACGAGACAGTAGCTGCACACCTTGTCTAGATCCAAGAGCTCGCCAACCAGCTGCAGTCGGTGCAAACAAGCCAGCAAGCGATTTCGACGGCAGCGACCGGCATGTCGGCGCGGGAGCGGCAGCACATGCGCTCGATCCAGCAAAAGCTCGAGCAGCTCGTGGCCGTGCACCGGCAGCTCCTCCGCAAGTACGCGTCGCTCGAGTCGGAGCACAACGAGGCGCGGCAGAAGCTCGGGCTGCGCGACGACCGCATCAAGAGCCTCGAGGCCAACACGCGCCTCATGGCCTCCAACATGCGCGCGCAGTCGGAGAAGCACCTCGAGGAGCTCAGCGCGCTGCATGTGCAACTCGCGGAGCTGCGTCGCAACATGAGCCAGGACACGCTGCCCGACCTCCCGGAAGAGAAGCCGACGCCGCTCCCGATCCGCCGCGCGGCCAGCGTCTACGTCAACCGCCAGGGCAGTGTCGTCGGCGACGGCGTCATTCGCCCGATCCGCGGTGGCGGGCGCCGCCAGTCGACGCTCGAGCCGTCCCCGGCCAAGTCGGACGCCGCCGGCGGCCTCGGCTTTCTCCAGCGCATGCTCGGCCTCAAGTAGGCTTCTATGATATTCGCAATACACTGCATTCGCTTCTTCTTACATGTCGCCCCAGTCGGCGTCGTCGTCGTCAAACTCGATCTCTTCGTCCGAGCGCAAGCCAAAGTCCAAGACGTTGCTCGGCGACGGCGGCACGGCCGTGCTTCCTGCGGTCGCCGGAACCTCGGCCAATGCCTGCGCTTCCAAAGCCGCACGCGCTTCCTCTTCGGTGCGCGCCTGGGCCTCAGCACGAGCTTCCTCTTCAGTGCGCGCCTGGGCCTCAGCACGAGCTTCAGCCTCTGCACGGGCATGGGCCTCTGCTTCGGCAGCAACGCGAGCTTGAGCTTCGGCAGCCGCACGCGCTTGGGCCTCCGCTTCGGCGCGAGCTGCAGCCTCGGCGCGGGCCTGTGCTTCTGCTTGTGCACGGACCAGCGCTTCAGCCTGGGCACGAGCTTGGGCCTCGGCCTCAGCGCGAGCT